CAACCCTTTGCCTCCACTTTTTTTAATGAGACACATTCGTTTTCTACCTTTAAATCAATTCATAGGGAGTTAACTTAAGAATGGGTCTAATAAGCATCCTGTTCAGCACATAACAAGCAGTACTAATTACATCAGCCCATAAATATTTAGATACATCAGATTCATTTATAAAAAGTTCTAGCCAATTCTTCTAATACCTATTTTTCCTTTTGACAACCCATTCTATTGAGGAGTTCTAGGAGTAGAAAAATTATGAGTAATGTCATACTTATCACAATTTTTTCAAAGGATTCATTTTAAAACTCACCACCATGCATCACTTCTCACAAGTTTTATTTTCAAATCCTTTTCATTTTTAAACACTTTTGCAAAACTTTTGAATGCTTTAAAAGCTTCATTTTTCAAAGTTAAACTGGGTCCAAGTAAATCCGTTAGTCATCACAACCATTAACAACGTGACATAATAAGTTCCCCACCAAAACTTTTTAATTCTATATGGACCAACATTCCATATGCAAAAGTTTTTAAAGGCTTTTATGTAGAGATCACGCTTTTGTATGAAAAAAAATTTGGTTTGTTTTCCTTTTTGACATGCAGAACTTTTATCTTTTTCAAACTTTTAACTTAGGCAATCCAATTACAAGATCTTTTGAAATCATTTATTTAGATTTGGCATAGTGAATGTTGTGCACTCTTTTATGCCATAACCAAGGATTTTCCTCTTTAGGCTACGTAACATGTTATCACTATGACTAGATGCCTTTCAATGTCAATCAATAAATATTATTATGCAACACCTTGCAGAGCAACATCTGAAGAATGCGTAAAATAAACAGTACATTTACACTTTCAATGTTCACCTTGAGACCTTTGTCACATAACTACACTTATAGCTTAAGAGGTTGTGTTTTCTGAGACCTTCCATATATACGATCTTTATGAGTCAACGGTGGTTCTCCTTCCTCCAATTGGTCTCTTGTTCCAAAATTTTCCTATGTGTTGTTATCCCATAATGTCATAAAGCCATGCTCTCTTCTCTCTCAAAGGAGATAAACCTTTCTGTGTCACACATCATGTTCTGAACAACCACTGTCAAGATACCACTAATGACTGCTTTGCAGTTTGAGTTTCCTGCAAACAAGGTTAAGCCAAGAATTTAGGTCCCCATCATCTCATTATGGGTCCTTGGGTTAGTTTCATGCAAGCAAGCATCATTTTACAGCTTTCACCCTACATATTTTCCATTTTGGGGGGATCCAAAGTGTTTTATTTGTCTTGTTTGATGTATACCATGCTTCATTGAAATAAACAACAACCATCAGCACCTTTTTTTCACAAAGTTCCTTTTTCACACCCAAAACTCCGAGTTCTCTTAACTTAAGATTTCTTAAGATAATGCATATTCTTGTCTTTAACGTTACTTTTTCTAAAATTATTTTGAACATGTGAGATAGGCTTAGTTGCATTTGCAAGTAAGTTTTCAAGTATGTCAATGTCAAACATATGACTTTTACAGGATAAACATTCACAGGGTTCTTATTTTCATTAAAATCAGATACTTTTGTTTCTAAGTTGCAAATTTTATTTTTCAAGATTACTTCTTCATCTAAAGCTTTCTCATATTTAATTTAGCAAATCCTTAAACTCATTTTTCAAATTTTTATAAGCAGAATCTAGTTTCTCAGATTCATTTAACAATTCCAGAAAGGCCTTTGTAAATCAAATTCAATAAACAAAAACTTGACTCAAAACTAGAATCACTCTGACTTCCAGCATCTGTTAAGGCCAGCCATTAAGCAAATGATTGCTTCTTCAGCTGACTCACTTGAGTTTGAAGTACAAGATGCATTTCTTCCTAACAATGTAAGCCTTTCTTCTTCTTGGAATTTCCTTTCTTTCTTTTCTTCACTTTTCTTGTTTTTAGGACAGTCAGTCTTCATGTGTCCTCTTTCTCCACATCCATAACATTTCACGCTTGAGGGAGAACCTTGATTTTCTTTTATTTCTCCATGGTATTGTCTTTCCTTTTGCTCTCATGAACTTGGCAAACTTCTTTATCATGAAGGCTCATTTTTTCCTCATCATCAGAGTCATCATCCTCGGGTTCTTCTTGAACTTTTTCCCTTAGATATTTCAGATTTGAAAGGCAAGAGTCTTCTTCCTTCCTTGATCCTCTTCCGCAGTCAATCTATTCAATCAGCTCGTGCTCACGAAGCTTTCCAAAGAGAATTGCCATCAACATTTGGGTGAGGTTTTGTGACTCTGAGATAGTGTCACCTTTAGTTGTCAAGACCTGTCCAATGATTTCAGAAATTTTTACATTTAATTCATCAGTATCAAAAGTCTTACCCAACCCAGTTAAGTGATTCACAATATGAGTGAATCCTTTTGGACATCAGAAATAGTCTCTCCAGGTTTGCATTCTGAACATCTCGTACTCATGAATGAGTGTGTTCTTCCTTGGGCGTTTCACCATCAGTACCCTCATGTGTGCTCTGAGGACCTCCCACATCTCATGTGTTGGCTCTTACAAACTGAAATTCTATGAACTCATTAAGTACTACAGCAGATGAAATAATTGCGATCCTTAATACAAATTGGGCTCTTCTATTTTCCTCAGGAGTCTAGTAATAAAGTTGTTTTTGCTACTTCTATCACCATCAACATTCCTTTTGGAATATAAGGGACCATTTAGTACAACTTCCCAGTCCTCTGTCAACAGACCCCATGAAAATTCCATTCTGACTTTCAAGAAGGCATAGTTATCACCAGTAAAAAGTGGTGGTCTATTGATGGAAGCACCCTCGGTAATATGCTTGATTTTGATGAACGCCATATTTTGAAAAATTTGAAAGAATATCGAAACAAGCTCTGATACCAAATATTGGTTGAACAACAGTACGCGATTCTCAACGGAATAAAAATTAACGAAAGCGTGTTCAGTCAATTTAAAAATGGTTGCCTTAATGTTCCTTAAGCTTTTTATCCAAAGGTTGATGAGCAGAAAATATAAAGAGAGTAGGGAGTACAAAAATCACACAAATGATTTTTATCCTGTTCGAATCAAAGATTCTACGTCCAGTCATTAATCACTATGAATAGTGATTAACCTTTTCACTAAAAACAGTTTTACAGTTACAATATAGTGATTTAAATAATAGTACAAAAACACCTTCCTTCGATGAATGAACCGGAAGGAAACAACTCTGCCAACTTGAAGAGAACCGATCTCGACCTTTGACACACAAAGCGCGAGCTTCTCCTGTTCACAAGACTTGACAATAGCAATGAACTGGCACTTGATAACTTCCTCAGATACACTGTATTCTCAGTTACGCACAGTTGTCTTCTAAAGTGTTTGGCAAAGAGATATATAACCTACTAGTCCTGAAACTGAAGAGACGCATTACAACTGCTAGTGATAATCGATTATTGTAAGTGATAATAAATTATATTGCAAAACTTGGAACAGTTAGGATATTTAACTCTTCGACCGTTCGACACCAGTTCTTCTTCCTCTGTCACTCGGTTTAATTCGACATATCCTCATGTCGTTCGGTTCAACCCTTTATCACCCTCTGCTGTTCGGCTTGGTTCCTCACAACTTTCAAGCTTGGTTTGGCCTCATGGCCTTGTCGTTCGGTCCTGTGTTTCAACTTGTGTTCGGCTTCATGCTCTGCGACTCAGTCATTATCACCTTTGACGTTACGTTAGTTCCTTACAGCGGTGTCTCTGACTGCTTGGTCATTGGTCATGAAGTTTACCGTGGTCGGGTGTTATCGCTCGCTCTGTTAGTTGCGTTCGTCATAATAGTGTTCTGCCTTTAGCTGTTTGGCCTTAATCGATGTGTAGCCGTCGTCGGCTTCAAATTGTGCTTTGGCTGTCAGACTGATAGCGACGTCTCTGGTCTTCGTCTACTTACTGTTGTTTCGTCTGATCTACTCTTGTTCTTTTTTCGCTGATCATTATTTAGATATCTTTTAAACTTGATGCAGCACAGAGTCTCATATTCTTCACTTTGTAGCATCATCAAAATGTACTAACTTGAAGAACACAATGCTCCTCATTGGTAACAAACAAATTTCCCTTGGGGACTTTTGTTGCTTGTCTAAATTATTAGTAGTCACACGACTGAATAATGTTGTTTTATAAGATTGGTAACGGTTGTATAGTATCTTTAGTTTTCCTTCTAGAAAAGTTTGGTGCCTAATGTCGTTGGAGAGTAATTTTTTCCACAATCTAGTAAATAATGTTTGTGCCTATCTTGTCATTTTATTGGCCAAGAGGCTTACAACAATCTATTTTGGAGTTCAATTTTTGTTATTAAGTGTTCTTTTCGAACCACTTGTCAGTTCTCACTAACTATTATAGAAGATATTAAACATAGAGTCTAGTGTTGTATAACATTTCAATCATAGTCTTGTATTTCTGCCCCCGTCAATCTCAATCTTTGCCACTCTTTTTAAACCTTAATATTTGAATTTGCAGTGTACTGATATTTCTTTGGACCCTCAAGTTTCGTTGTTCCATCTTTGAGGTGTTGGTTAAGGCTCTGCTTATGATGTCACCAGCACTCTGAAACATGCTCCAGATTCTTTTAAATATTACTTTGCTCACATCATATTTTTTGATTCTTGTTCTGTTAATATAATAAACCACCATGTGTTTTCTCAAACAACACACTCTTTCAACTTAATGGTTTATCTTTTTCATAGAGTTTAACATGATATCTAAACCCTCTTTTAAAATGTGTCGGCTAGATGTTGGGAACATTTTCATCTAATTATATAATAAAGAAATATATATTATATATGTATTATTAGGAACAGTTTTATTTATTCTTGTATCTTATCTTTTTGTTAGTATTGCATATAAAATCTCCTTTATATATTGTATTGATTCCATTATCTTCACAGTTTGTCATTTTTCAACCATCACCGGTAATAATTGTTAAATTCATTTGTATGATTCTTTTTATTAAATATATTACTGACTGATTATTATGTTAATATTGTAGGGATATGATCAAGCGAGCATGCCAAACAATGAAAGTAATGAAGATCAAAATTAGACATTGTTTCCTTTATAGTAATGTAATGAACATCTCAGTCATATTTTTGTATTTTAATTTAGTATTGAATATCTTTCTTTTTAATATATGAACAATTAGTTGTATGAACATGTTGAACAATGAATATTTTATATATAATAATCAGTTTTTGTTCATATTATTTCATTGTCTGTTTGGTTAATAAAACTAATTTTATCATAATCCCATTTTATTACAATAAAAAACTAAAAAATAAATAAATTTGTATACGTTTTTTGCGGTTTTGGCCCGGTTAACTTTTGTGGTTCTTTTAGCCCCTGTAAGTAATTAGCGGCGGTTTTTTGAAAAACCGCTAGTATTAGCAGGGGTTTTGAGAAAACCGCCGGTATTAGCGGGGGTTTTGAGAAAACCGCCGGTATTAGCGCGGGGTTTTGGAAAACCGCCGGTATTAGCGTGGGTTTTTGGAAAACCGCCGGTAATAGTGGGGGTTTTTGGAAAACCGCCGGTATTAGCGGGGGTTTTAAGAAACCGTCGGTATTAGCAGGGGTTTTTGAAAAACCGCCGGAAATTACTTAGCGACGCAGCTTTTCCCAGGAGTTTTCGTAACCGCGGGTAACATACTTTCCGGGGGTTAAAACCACCGGAAATGACAAAAATAACCCCCGGTAAAAATATAAATTTTTGTAGTGATTTGTCATAAATTTTTATCTAAATAATACTTTTTCATTCAGTATTCTCATTCTCATAAACTAATCTGTATATTACACTCTAATAAAAGAAGGAAAAAAATAATATCATACAACTTATACATAAAATGATATATATTATAAAATAACAACTACATATAATCAACTAAATAACTAAAAAAACATAATATAAACTAATAATTACACGTAATCAAGTCAAAGCTAGAAAAACAATTTTTCTAATATATATAATTATGTGACTCTAATATATTAGTTAACTAAAATATTACTTTAGTCTTCATCTAAAATATTAGTTTGCTCGTTTTTTCTATCTAATATATTGGTTAACTAGTCTTTAACTAAAATATTAAAATATTAATAATATACCGTAGTGTTGCACCTAAAATACTAAAGTATTAGTCTAACCTAAACAAAAAAAGAAAAACATACTAGTGATATAACCTAGTGTGATACTACAATATTAATCTCTAACTAAAATACTAAAACCCATAAAATCTAATATGTGTGAGTCTTTTGATCAAGCAGCACATCTTTTGTAGTTGCAATTTTTCGGATAAATGGCCTCACTATTTTTGAAACTTAGATAATTTTCCCGTTTGACTTTCACTTTTTCCTCGAGTAGAATTTCTAGTTATCCTAACCACCATGTTATTTTTGAGTGCACTGTTTGTAGCTCAAATGAGTAGAGGAAAGAAGGCGAATTTAAAATTGCATCACTTCCTTTAAGTATAAAACTTCATTTTTGTCATGATTTAGTGAGTTCATTTAGCTAACAATGAACTTATTGAATATTTGAATTTAAATATCTTGGTTATAAAATATGTTTTGATCACTAAACTCCATTTACCATCTTAAGAACATATAAATACAAAAAGTATCCGTACTATTTACATGTATAAATAAAGTAATGAAATAATTCCAGATGCACAATTCATCTTAATACCACTCACTACCACCAAAAAAAAATCATAAACAATGTTTCCTTTATATTTAGGCACTATCTATGTGAGTGTTTTATATTAATAGAGAACACTTTTAAAAAAACACTGTCTATTATTGGCCACTGATAGACAACGCTTATTTAAATAAGCGTTGTTTATTATCAACCACCAATAAACAATATTTATTTAAAAAAGCGTTCACTAGTAAAAAAACATCTTTTTAACGCGCTATATACGCTTCGGTTTTACTGGAACCGAAGCGTATAAAAGTGCAATGGCATTTTCGTAGTTTAAGAGAAGTTATATGTCTCGGTTTTAAAGCACCCGAAGCGGAATACGTCTACTACCTCGGTTGGCTCAGAAACCGAAGCATAACGTATACCGCGTATCCTCCTGCCGCCCTGCAAACAAGCTGAAATTCAGATTGACAGAGATATTGCCTCGGGCATCTGCAGAACCGAGGCAGAAAGATCAGGCTATCTCCTCGGGTTGGCGTCAACCGAGTCCTAGAAATTCAAAATTGCCTCTGTATTTTTAATTTTTTTTATTATTTTTTATAGTATAGGCATCGGTTATTCTTTGAACCGAGGAAGCATAGTCTCATATCAGCACTAAATCTTCCAAAACTTTCCATTTCTCTTCTCACACAAACTCTTGTCTCTCACTGTGTTCTCCAACCCTTTCGAAACAGGGTCGTCACCGTCACCACTACTATGCCGTTCAGTCGCCACCACGCCTCTGGTGTTCTCGCGCAAGAAGAAGCCTCCCATTCCCGCAACAGCGTCACTGCCTCCTGCAACAGTGTCGCTGCCTCCCGCAACAGCGTCACTGCCTCGCCGCCAAGCCTCGCCCTTTTCCACTTTTTTCACTTCAAGACTCAGACGAGCTTTCGTTGCGTCACTCTCTCTTTTCCTCCTCGTGGGTTCATCTCTCTTTGCTCAAATAGTAACCCTAGGGCTCTTCCAATCTTTCGTGGGTTTTGCACAAAATTCGATTTTTTTTATTCTCTACGAAGTGGGCATGGTAGGGAATGACGACGCGGGTCACCTCTCCGCCTCCCGAAAAATGTTCTGCCGAAGGTCCTCACAGAGAGAACTGGGTAAGGGTTTTGCGGATTCTGGCAGCGCAGAAGGTCCTCACAGAGAGAACCGGCGATTCCCTCCGCCACTTACACCTCGGTCGCAGCAGAATTGTAAGGCGCGCTCTTGCTTGCCACCGCTGCAACCGCTGTCTATCGCTCGGCCACCACCCCGGGAGGGAGAGGTAATGGTAGCAATGGTGAAAGGTTGAAACTTGATTTGTCTTCCATAATGGTTTCGCTCATGTGTTGAATTGTGTGGGGTTTGTGTGTCCTGTATAATTTAAGGTTGATTTTGTGTACAAAACCGAGACATAATCCTATTCTTTTTGACTCGGTTCATAACCGAGGTGATGGAAGCAGCCTCCACGTTCAAGACTGGAGCGGCTCCTTGGAAAGAATGACGCAGCGGAATGAAGAATGGTTTGAAGGAGTTCGGCGCATGCAAGGTGTTTGTCAGAATGCGTGACAGTGTTTGGATGTGTGTGTGAGGTAGAGTTCTAACTCAGATGGCCTTCCAACGGGGAAGGGAGCTAGAGGGAGACAAGCTAAAATAGCTTTAAGCAATGAACTTGAGAGAATGGCTGGATTTCAGCAGCATTTCATTATCAAACTCAAGTTACCTTTACAAGTGATTTGGCTTCTCTTTTATAGATGAAGAGAAACTTGCCTAGCAAGCTACTGGACATATTAGCAATGTACATGAAGCTCTATAAGAAGTGTGCAGGAGAAGCTATACAGCTGGCCATATGTTCCATACGGTAAACATTGAAAACATGCTTTAAAAGAAAGTGGAAACGCTGGTTTGCTTGGTTGGCCGTATGTTGTATATCAACTTTGCTTTTCCAATCCAAAAAGCACTTCCTTTCTTCCTTTCTTTACCTCCTTTGCTTCCCTTAGTTCACCAAGCTTCTTTGGTTGATTGGCTATGGTTTTCCACTCTTATTAGTGACCTACAAAACAAGTATTTAGTTAAAGAGAACATTCTAAGACTTAGAAAGAAAATATTAAGTCCTTTATTCAACTTCCCTTTCTTGGTCTTAGAGTAAAGTTGATACTTCTTTAGATGGAAAGTCCCTAAAGGGGTTGCCATCATTCCCTCCCTCTTTAAAAACGATTTGTCCTCAAATCGGGAAGAAAGAAAGAAGCACAACTTTGGTTTTTATGTTCCTCCGGGATCAAAAATATATCTACAAAAGATTGAAAAAATGAGTATGATGAAGAAGATGTAAACAAAGATAAGAAGACAAAAGAAAAGTCTTGTATTTTTGAAAAAGATTTTCAGAAATTTAGGCTTGGAAAAATGGAAAATTCCATAGTCCCAAGTTATTGGATTTTTATCTTGAGTTACTTGTTTACACAAAGGTAACATTAACTCAAGGTTTGAATTGCCATATTTTGAAAAGGATGGCACAGAATATGGGATGGCAATTGATTTAAAAGATAAATGAATAATGGAAGAGTGCACAATAAATGGAAAAGAAGTAAAGAATGAGAACCCTTCCCTTTTAGGTTCCATGGTGATGGTAAGAGTAGGAGTTGCCAGCATTAGCAAGAGCTCCTTCTCTTTACTTTCCTCTGCTTTCTTCTTTTCTTCTTCTCTTTTCTTTTCCTCTTTCCTTGTCTCTCTTTCCTTACTCTCTTCTTCTTCTTTCTCTCTTTCTTGTCTCTCTTCTTCTTCTCTCTCTCTTTCTTGTCTCTCAACATCTCTTTTTAGCTTTAATTCTATTTGCTTAGCTTGCACCTCCTTAAGGTTAATCTTAAATTCTAGTTCTCTAATAAGGAAACCATTATCATTTAAGCTTTCAAGAAATATTTTTCCTTTTTCAATGTAATCTCTCAAGAATTGGAGGTTTCTCTTAATAGTTGAAGGTACAAACTCTTTTCTCATGCAAGATTTTAATTCAGACCAATTATGAATGGGAGATTTTCTACCTATCCTAACATGATATTGTCTCTCATCCCACCACTCTCTTACTTGCATTTCAAATCTAGATGTGTAGAGACTAAGGACATAAGATTCACTATTGCTAGAATGAAAATAGGATTCAGGTTTACTTTTTCTAGCAATAAATGGATGCATGTCATTAATGTCCTTTTCCCAAGTTAGGTATGTTAATGCACCAATATCCGCACCAAAGTATGGAATATTTGCCCTAGCTTGTTTATACAATTCACCCTCAATCCGAACAAATTCATGAGAGGAACAAGTCCTTCTTCTAGCTTCATCAAGTTTTCTTTTAATTTCTTTGAAACTAATGGATTGATCAAAACTAGAAAACCAAGAGGACCTATATGAACAAGAAGACGGATAAGAAGTATAACAAGACATCAAAAACTTTTTTTTGATTTTTGTGAAGGATTTCTAGAAAGATTCTAGAGGTAAAATGAACCAAATAGCTCCCAGGAAGAAGAGATGAGT